CCTGATGGATGCATTCCTGTTGCCTGAAAAGACAAACTCCAGTGAATTCTTACAATGCTTACCCTCCAGTTCCAATCATCCCCAGTAGTGTTAAAGGTTGAGCTGGTTCACACGCTCATGATCCTCAGCACCTCAGAACCAATGTCAGCATTGGTTTTTCCCTCTGCTGAGCCTCACAACCAGCACTCCATTGACAGGAACACCAGAACTGGCCTTCTAGGACCATGGTCTCCTCCTTCATCCCATCTCTGTTGCTCTTCATGTTACAGCCTGCATGTTCCATGATTAATACCTCAGGTGTTCAAAGAATATGCAAAAGTTAACCACGAATAGTAGAAAATCATCTTATTGAAGTGAATGAAAATGGTTCTTCCTTGTGTTCTTAACCAAAAAAAGTTTGGTTCTGGGTGCCCACACTGCATGTTCTAGACTATATTGTATACATGGCCTTTCCATCAGGATTCACCTGGCTATCTCTGCTTTCTGCCCTGCAACAGATGATCACTCACTTTTTCTCCAGTCCAATGTCACTCAGTTTTTTGAAGGCACTGGGCACATTATATCCCCAAGAGAGGATTCTGTTCTCCCCTCTCTCCCCTCTGTGACTTAAACCTGATTTTAACAACGATACTGAGTCCACCCTTTGGCCACCTGTTGCTTAGTCTTTCAATGAAGACAGCCTTTTAGTGGCAGTTACCTCGGTGAAGTGATCAGGAGAATTGAGAACCCTAGTATCTGACCAGCTGTATGCAGTCTTTTGGATGTGAGCATAAGTACCTTGACCTCACATAGTTTCTCACCACAGTGGTTCCTCACTTCTCCATTAATCGAGTAGCATGCTTACCAACTTCCTTTCCTAAGTCATAAGGATGAAGAGAGATTTACACTTATAATGTCAAGAGAGTGTTAGCTGCTTGCTTGGCCTTGACCAAATCTTTCCGGTCTCCTCACGACGGTTTGTCATGGCCACGGATAGGATCCAGTCTCATCTGAAAGAATCTTGTTATAGATTTCCTTCTGCATAACTTTGTGCTACAGTGTTACTAGTGTAACGCCACCAAGCAGAGTGAGAGTGCCCTCAATGAGATCCCAAGCATCTTTTGTAGCATTTCTAGCTTAAATACCTGTATAAGATGTTTGTAGAGCTGCAATTTGAACATTGCTTCTTGCTTCTCATTGGGCCATCTCTCAACAGGATATTTCCTTCCTTCCGTCAGTCATTATTTAAGTAAACTCCGATTCCATCTCCAGGTTTCATGTGTCCATTCCACTTTAGGGGACTTAAAAGCAGTTCAGTCACTCATGGGAAAAAAGGTTACTAACTTGTCCTTTAACTGTCGTTCTTTGAGAGATGCTGCACATGTCCATTCTGCAACTCTCCCTCCTTTCCTTCTCTATTGGAATCTGTCTGGTAAGAAGAAACTAAGTGGGTGTGGGGGAAACCGTGCTCTATCTATCGTCGTGCAGCAGTAGGAGGATGGAAGGACTAGTGTGGAATGGAGTGGACATTTGCAACATGTCTTGGAGAATAACAGTTACAGAACAGGTTAGTATCTGTATTTTCTGAGCTATTTATCCCCACTGTGTAGTGAAGCAGTCATCATGATTGCCAAGTAATCTGTGGCTGACCTTGTTTTTATGCTGCTAGTGTTGAATTAGGCCTTGTCTACACTACAGAGTTTTGTCAGTGTACATTATGCTGACGTACAACCAACACGATAATTAAATTGCTGCTCTCTCTCATTATACTCCTTGTGTTGGTGGAACACATCCTTAATAGCTGTCCTTGCATCTATGCAGAGAGCAGTGCATCTGTGGGTATCTATCCTACTGTGCAAAAGGCTTCAAGGTGCTTTGGGAGGGGCTGCAATGCCTTATGGGAGCAGATACAGAATGATATGATGGTGTCTCAAGCCAGTCATTCCATGGGCATCCTACTAGGTTACCAGCTGCTTTTCAGCTAGCCTGGTAACCTGCAAGCCAGCCATCTTTATCATCCTGGATCCTGAACTATGTTCAATATTGTCCTGTGCGTTATGATCAGAAAGTTATAAGGGGAGCCCAGGGGAGGATGGCTTCTTCAAAGTAGCACTTGTTAATATGATCATCTGATATTGCTGAACTCTTAACGGCTTCTTGTGTTGGTGTGTGTTAGAGATGTTAAAAAGCGTTTATTTCAGTAAGTGTGTACTTGCAGGGAGGAGGGGGGGAGGCGGCTCCCTGCAAGCACCAGTGCCTGTGGAGCCACATCCCCCTCGTCGCCCACTGCAGAGACAGCTCTGCAGGAGCTGCTACGCACCTGCAGCCCTGAACTGCTGCCTCTGGGTCAGAGGTAGCAGCACAGGAGGGCAGGTGGTTCCCTGAGAGCCAATGTGTATGGGGAGCCTGCTTAAAAGCTGGCTCCCCGCAAGCACTGGCTCCTGCCTGCACCCTTCCCCCCACTGCCTCTGACACACAGGCAGCAATGGTGGGAGTATGTAACTGTGAAGGTTAACTGATGAGCCTAGGCACATCAGTTATTGTGTAGACTAGGCATGTAAGGGAATAGTCGAGTTGACTACTCGCTTCCCCTCACCTTTGCTTCCTCTGTGTCAGAGGCAGCAAGGGGGTGGGAGCAGGAAATGGTGCTGGGGGGAAGCTGGCTTCAAAGTCGGTTTCCCACAGCATCATCTCCATGTGGGGAAGGGTAGAGGAGGCAGAACCACAGCGGTCCTGGACTGTTCAGTCACTGTTTATGAGGACTGTTCAGTCCCGGCTCGAGGTGGCCCCACTGCCGCTCTGCATTTTAGAGCCCACTGACTCTTAGTCCTGCCTTGCACCACTCCCTGGAGCTAGCTCTGCTGCTGCTCTGCAGTTTAAATGTAGTAGGAGCTGGGCTGCCTGGCTCCTACTACATTTAAACTGCAGAGCTGCAGCCGTGGTAGTGAGCGCTTCCCCCCACATTGACTAGTCGAGTAGTTGATGGAAATTCCATTGACTACTTGATTAGCTAATTAATTGCAACTTAACATCCCTAAATTAGATGATTACACTATCACATCGTGTGTGTGTGTGTGTGTGTGTGTGTGTGTGTGTGTGTGTGTGTGTGTGTTGGGCGAGAGTGTGTTGGCATGCTGTCTCTAAAATCAGACACAGCCAGAACCAATTGTGAGCCAAAAGCTGGTGCATACACAGGTGGTGTCTCCCCTGTGCTGTCACCACAGCTCAGCGAAGGTCATTGCAGGGACAAAGAGCCACTCCAAAATCAGCCTCACTACCTTCCTTGGCTCTACATAGCATGTCAGTCTCTTCTCCCTGCCCCCAGCAGTCTGCCCTGCCTGCTGCTGCTGCCCTAGTGTCCGGGAGAACAGGATTCCACAATAATATGGAATCAACAGGTTTCCCTTAGAGTTCTCCAATAATCTCTCCTTGCAGACCCCAGAAATCCACTTCTGCCCCTGCAGTTCAGATAGGCGTGCACTTGCTGCTGGGAGTCAGTGTGTTCAGCCGGACAATAGCTATGTGAGTTCTCCAGGCTAAGCAGTTTCAAAACTCCCTAGGGCTTTGAAATGGGACAGGCACATACATGCCTGTATCGCTGGGCACAGGGCAGTGTAGTTCAAAGCAGTGAGCAGAGCAGTCATGGTGGGCATTGTGGGATACCTGTTGGAGGCTGTTTACAACGATACAACAAATGCAGTGTCTGCACTGATGATTTGTTGATCTAATATGATTTTATTTTGTCAGCAAAGCGAGATAATTTTGTCAGCGGGAGGAGCTTTGTAGCATCTACACCTCCAGTGTTTTCTCAACAAAAGCTGCCTTTTGCTGGCAAAACTGTACTGTAGAGAAGGCCTTAATTAACCATCCTTAATTCTCCTCAAAGCATTTTTAACAATTTTATAATTGTTGAGTATAAAAGTCAAATATGAAGAACTCTTAGTAATGCAACAATATTTTTGTGAATTTATTATGTTCATTAGCTTTGCTGAACTCAGTTGTGCATTCTCTAAAATAATTCAATTTGCAAGAAGCTTTGAATAGCTTTTCTGAATCTAAATGTGACCTGAACATTATTTTAAAAAATCCTAAACTTTTATTTGAGAAAAGAGGCTTCCCTTTCAGAGGATTATCTTGGCATCCCAATCAGCAAAGCCATATCATCAGGGCTCCATTTATTCTGCAACATAGTGAGATCTGATTCTATGGTAGCAACCCCTTTATGCCATGGCAGCCTTAAATGATTTGATTACCATCAAATATGCATGATTTCTGACACTTCCCCATTCCTAGCAAGCTATATCTCGTAACTGAAAATCCTAAATGCTATAGAAATAGTTGGTGGTAGTTATGTTTCAACAATATTTTTCTCAGTATATTTCTCTCAGATTTCACTGTCCAGACAAACTTTTGTGGCTGTGGTCTCTACTCTTTTTCAACGTCAAGCTTCACTTCTCAGCAATGTGTTTGGACCTGTGCAGAGGGCAGGCAGCTATTGTGTAAGTTTAAGATTTGTAAAGCTTTCTGCACTTGTACAAAATAGTGCTTTATCTTCATGGTGTTACTTCAAGCTTCTGCTTCTCCTTCCCTCTCACACAGCTCTTCTAATGCATTTCATTTTAGTGATTCCTGCCCTCTCTTCTCCCACCCTTTTTTCTGTTACAGTGCTGAACATCACCAAAATTTGCATAGTTACTCTCCTTCTGTTAGTGCATTGGAAGATGTATGAAGCTATGATTGTGCCCCAAGACTGCCTCTGGGGTACTCTTTCAGGGATGACAGACTTCTAGATTAGAAAGACATGGGTAGTGAAGACCTTCGTGGAGTGGTCAGTGTGGGATCAGTAACTTGTTTACTGGAGAGCACCCACCCAATGTCTCTTTCAGACACTGCACTGGGTGTCCCGCTTCACTGCAGAAGCAGGGTGAACTCTTTCTCACCCTGGTGAGCTCCAGTGCTTTCCACATACATTTAGCTGCAGACCTCTCATGCGGATCACTAATTCTGCCTCTCTCTTTAAGGAACTCTGTTTCATTTCACTTTGCCAAAGGAAAGTGATGTCATTCAGCCCTTGACCAGTGTGACCCCATCTCTTATTGGGCAGCTTAAAATGGGACCCAGAAGACACAGCACTCCTATTGGTGAGTTAAAATAGAAGGACCTTGATTTGAAATGGGAGCAGATTTGGAAGTTGATTTGATACAGGACTTGATTGATCCCATAAACCTAACTTAGGGCAGCCAATGCCTGTTCCAGTGTCTGCTTGCCTGTTAGAGTTTCCCACTGGTACTCAGATGCTGATTGCTCACTCAGCCAACCAAACATTCCCCCTTTATATGCTGCACCACAGGTGAGAGATGCCTGTCTTGTGTTGTCTTGCCATTAATTCAATATATATGATGCTGCGTCAGTCCTAGGCTCCTGCTAATAGGACTCAAAAGGCCCTTGGTCTAATCTCTTCCCTTTTGCTAAGAAAAGATCATCTCCTGTAAATAACGGTTTTCCCTCATTAGGCAGCATCCTGGTGTGATGTTCAGCTTTGCAATGGGACTTTTGTAGTGGTGTCTATAGTTCATGATGGAACTAGTTGGCCTCGGGCTAAGATGGTTGTCACCTCAGCTGAATGTCTGAGATGTTAAGGACATCCTGATAGGAACATCTGCTACTGTGCTGTTTGCCACCGAAGCACATAATTGCATCTCTCCTAAACACCCCCAGCTGAACCTAATACAGGAAAGACTACACTGGTCACTTGCACTCTTGTATTTTGTGCTTTCCTTCTATCCTCGTTTTAGTGGATGGCAGCTGCCCAGAGAGCACCATAGTAACCAGCGATGTCACAGCAGAGGGCAGTATTGGGACCAATAATGTCACTGTGGAAAGTGCTATGGCATCAGCAGATGCGTTGGAAGAATGTGAAAAAGGGGATTCTGGTGCAGCTCCTGAGGCTGATGGAAAACTGTGTCTTCGAATGAACCTTGCCACCCCTGTGAATGAGGAGAGTGAGGAGAGTCTGCCCTTCAGTCTGGAAAGTAAGGGAATGGAGATCTGGGGAGTATGTAGGTTTTCTCTCTCTTTACCCTGAGATACTCTCACCCAGCGCCAGTCACTTGACAAGGGCTTGGAATCAGTTTCATTTGGGGGCTGTTGGATTCCTCCATTGGAATTCTTTTTTAGTTCCCTTGTGAGGTGACCTCTAAGAAAGTACTGTGTTCTGCATTTGAGAAGTGTGTAGAGACCCACTGGTGGTTTGGGGGGAAGGGGGGGAGTAGGTATCCCCTTGTTGTTGCAATGAAGCAGTTGGCCTTTCTGGTGGAGAGACACATTCCTGGGGCAGGAAGCTATGTTTGTGTGTTTCAACATTGTTGGGGGGCAGTTAGGAGATGGGATCCCAGTCAGTTCTCTTGAGAAAAGTGTAACTTCAGTATGTGAATGCTGCTCCTCTTCTCGATTTATGTAATATACTTAAATATTCATTCATGTTGCAGTGGGAAGCTGAAATAGCTGGTGGGGGGATGGGATGGCTTCATCCCTATCTTTTCTTCTGTTGTTCAACCCCTTTAGCTGCAGAGCTTTTAGGGGCAGGGTGGCTATTCAGGTATGATGCTAACAGGATTCTTGCTCGCCCTCCCCCATCTCTTATAGAGCCTGCAGCCAGTGAAAGGAAAAATGGATCCTCTGCTGTTGCCAGGTAACTGATGCTTGTTGCTAAGCAAAGAGGTTGAACACAAGTTCTTGGTAATGAGAAAAATGATCATCTACCAACAGAAGGAAAAAAAATTAAAATGAGCCCCAGCAGCATGGATCTGGCTCAGCTTCTGCTTTTAACCCCGGGGCACCTGCAGTAATGCTTCTGGTTCAGGACACTTGCCTTGGCTCAGCTGCCCCCCACCTGACATTTACTTTGGTGTGGGGGCTTCCTACTAACTTCCTATCTTTCTTGGCCCTATAGTGCTCTGGCAAGAGTGGAGATGCTAAAATGGTGGGTCAACAAGATTGGGTTGTGAGGGATTCAGATCGTTTGGGGCAGGGAGGAAATCCCAAATTAAATGCATATGTAGAGACCTTTGCCACAGAATTGTGTACTGTGTCTCAGCGTTGCCATCACTCATTTTTCTGAAAGCAGGGAAGCTTTCTAGCTGTGCGCTTAGTTTGACCTTTCAAGTGTGATGTGAGCTGTAATTTCGGGTATTTTTTGCTGCATCATGAAAGCTATATCAGCTCACACTGGGAAGAGAAATGTAAGATGCAAGGGATCCAATATTGCCACCTAGTGGCACTGAGAGAGTGTTGGACAATACTGCTCTGTTTTCTCAGAAGCAGGAGCAATGCTGACATCATGCTTATTGCACTGTCCTCCGTTTGGTATAATGGTGAGTTAAAACAAGGGAAGTTGGAAATGGCCTTTCACAATTGACCCTGGAGAGCTCTGACTATCTCTGATTTATGACACTACAAATTAATTAGCCTAAAGGCCAGTCTCTTGTTGGTTCTAATGTTTTAGACATTTCTGCTTTCCAGTGTCAGTACTTTCTTAGTTCCTGTGACTTGTGACCTGTTTCTTTAATTTGTACAACTAGCTCTCAGAAGAACCTGTCTGTGTTTAGTCGTGTCTGTGAAGTCCGTCGAGAAGATGAGGCCAGAGGTCATGATCTTTCTGCTTCTCCATTTAGGTATAGAGTTTTTTGTTTTGTTCTTGTTTGGTCCTATATTCTGTCCCTTGTCCCTGTAGGAGCTTTGTGCAATGTCACTGATTCTGGGGTGACTGCTAGAGAAAGCGTGTGTTTGCGCGTGTAATCAGTAGTATGAGTGGTAGGTGTAGATGTGGAGATCCGTGGCTCATTTTTGCAGACATGGTTTCTAGACATTCAGAAGCCACCTATACAAAGATTATTGCCTCCTTGCCCTTTGCTTATCCTGCCAAACATCACATTGTCTCTTTGTATTGTATTTATCACAGCAGTTATTGTTTATTGTTCTTTCTAAGTCTCCCACCTCCCCACCCACATGCAGCTCGTTATTGCCAAAGAAAAATGAAAGGGTTACAGAGTGGTTATCATTCAGTATTAGACAACAATGCAGTATAACTCTGTAAGCTACTAGCACCTAGAAGCTTTTCACTCCTGCACCTTGCTTGACATCTGTTGATTGGGCAATGAGGTTACAGGATTGTGGGCTCTCATATACAGTAGATAACACTGTCCACAATGTATGGTTATTAGTCATGTTTGATATAGTAGTGCCTATGGACCTACCAGGATTGAGATCCAATAATGCTAGACCCTCTTGCTTTGAGCACCTTAATATTGATCTGCATGTGATTGGTTTGCAGGGGGAACCTGTTTAGTTTTCCAAGCACACAGGAGGAGCAGCTGCATGAAGATCCTGACACTTGGCAGCAGTGCCAGAAGCAGGTCTCTTGTGGGGGAATTAAAGTTTCTCAGCCTGCAGAACAGGACTCCAAACATCAGCCATCCTACACAAAAGACGGAGAGGTTATGGAAGTTGATATTGAAAGGGATCAGGAAAAGGAAGGGAAGAACACACAGGAGAAGCTGTGTAAGGCTTTGGCAGCCCAGGAAAGGGAGAAAGGTGAGCAGATGTGGACTGGTACAAGCAACAAAGAGGTCCAGACTGCAGGAGCTTCTCTCTTGGCCCCTGCAGCTGTGTCAGCAGCAACACAGACAATGAAGGGAGTGAGCAGCCAGGTAGAAGTGGGAACGAGCATGGCTGAGCAAAGGCCTGGACAACAGGATGCCAAGGTCCAAACTGAAGAGAGTGGAGAGAAGCTTGCAAATGCCCCTGGAAATGACACTGAGCCTCTCCATAGCCAGGTGAGAATGAGCAAGAGCTCGGGTTGCTTTTATGCAGTATCAAACCCTAAGTTTTAAAACCGAAGTCTTTGCTGCATTAAATATGAAAATAACACACCAGTCAGTACCATGTCCTTGTGGTGGTTTTACTTTGCCTTCTCAGCCCTAAATTTTCAATGTACATTACCAAAAATTTCTGTATTGATTAGCATATAACTGTAGTGGAGAAATAATCTCAGTGGAGGAAAGAACGGTGTAGTGGAATGTTGAGCATCTGTCACCTGGGGAGGTATATGGCAGGTGACTGTTGCTTTTTTGTACACAGGAAACAGATAAGGTAATTGTGATGGGCTTAGTCACAAAGATCCCCTTGAGACTGTCACTTGATGTGCTGAAATACCACGGAGTCCACCTGCCTGCCTTCTGGAGTGCCCCACTCCCTGACCTCCTGAGCCAGACCCTCCAGTGATGGCACAAGTTGGAGTCACAACCCACAGCAGAGCAAAATAGATGCTGAGAGCAGCTCAGCTCTGGAAAGACTCAGTCAAAGTGACTTGACACAGTACCTAGGTGCACAGCCCCAATGAAACCGGAACCACAGATAAATCCGACTTACTCTGTTTCGAGTTTATACTGAGCAAGCTCATAAATCATTCTCCCTCTTTATCAATGAGAGATGGACAGCTATTGCCCCTCCAGGTAACAATTGGATTTACATTAAGTTTCTTAATAAACAGAAATTATTTTATTAGGTATACAGACAGAATTTAGGTGATTGCAAGTGATAGCAGACAGATCAAAGTAAATTATTAAGCAAAATAAAACAAAACACACCAGCTAACGCTAATACACTAAGAAACTTGTTACATGTAAAATCTGACCCTCAAATATTTTAACAAGCTCTTAACATTCAGTTCCTGGTATTTGTAACAGATGCTTTAAATGGTAAACAGGGGTGTCCTGAGATCTGGCTGCAGTCCCTATTGCTTGGTTTTCCATTTTTATATCCCTGTAGCCAAAGATGGGAATCCTTTTTGTTTGTGACAGAGTCATGTCAGAGTTACAGAAGAGTGCTAGAAGGAAATTGTGAGCCTTAGACTAAGTAGGTCTCTGTTCCCTGACTAAATTGGCAGGTGCTGGCCTAGAACAAGCAGGAACTTTCCAGAAGGAGCCTGGACAATCAGGCCAGTTAGAACACCTGGAGTTAATTAGGAGCCTTCCAGAGCAAAGGGAGTCAGGCTAATTACACCACCTGGAGCCATTCAAGAACCAGATGAGACTAGTTAAAAAAGCTTTCTCTTCTGTAAGTTAGGTGGCATGTGAAAAGGAAAGAAGGAGCCCAAGTGCTGAGAGCGGGAGGAGATTGGGTGAGAGCTGGGAGCTGCAAGGCTGGAGGAGTGTGTTGGAGGATCAGGAACCAGAGGAAAGGTCCTGAGAGGGATCGTTTGGGCAAGTGGCCCAGGGAAGTAGTTACTAGATGGACCAGGGATTCAGCCAGCGTCCTCTCCTGCTTGCTTCCCTGTAAAAATGGGGGGTTGGGAAATGAGCAAATAGTCGATAGTGTTACCTGATAAGTTCCTGTGATAAGGGCTAGCTGGGTGCAGAAGAGCAAGAATTCAAACCCCTTTATTCAAAGGAGTTACTTCTACCCCTGCCCTGCAGAGAGAGAGAGAGAGAGAATGTATTATTGTGATGTTACATCCTATATTCTTTATGGAAATATATGAACAGGAATTACCACTGCTTTGCATTTTTAAAGGGAAGCTGGCAGGAGAGGATGCTGTCTGAATCCCTGGTCCTGGGTCTCAGCACAAACGCACACCTCTGCTTGCTGCTGCTCTGCATTTTTAAAGGGAAGCCTGTGTGAGTGCTGAGACCTGGGAACAGGGCTTCAGCCAGTGTCCTCTCCTGCTGGCTTCCCTTTAAAAATGCAGAGCAGCAGTGGGATATTGTGCTGAGACCCAGTGTGAGCCTGACACTGCCCTTCTTTATCAACTAATTGAGTAGTCAGTGGAAATTCCATCAACTACTGGAGTAGCCAGTTAGCTGCTACTTAACATCCCTCGTCACAGATAAGTATGTTCATGGAGTGTTCTTATTGAGAAACAGCTTCAAAATGTTGCTGCTTAAATTTTTCTGCTGAGATGAGCCCATTGAGAGGAATGAAATGGACTTAATCCAAAGCTCAGAACTAATGTATGGGAAGTGTGTAGACTTGAGAAGGTCACCATATTAGGGTCATGTTCTTAAGGTTTTTTCACAAACAGAAGGGCTAGGAAATGTGTTTTTGAATGAAAACTTAACTTTGGAGCACAATTCTGCAGCGATTGATGAATTCTGTGGCACGCTCCAGATTGGCAGAAGATACTGGGCCTTGGATATGACTAGTAGGCAAGAAGTTTCCTTGATAAATGGATGAGATTGAATTGGTACAAGTGGGTATTCACGTGGTTTCTATCGCATCCAGCTTTGGCTCTTTCTATTGGCTCCAGTCCTGCGACACCATCGCCATTGGACTACTTCAAGGAGAAGTTGGATATAATCTTGATGATTCTGTTGAATCACCTAGCTTCCTGGGCAAGGACTGTTGTTGGACTGCAACGCTATGGGAAGAGAGCTCCTGTTTCTTAAGGCTTTTTCCATATTCTGCTCTATTTCCAGAGCACTGGTTGTCTGTGTTTTCATAAGGGGGCATCTTGTGTCCAAGTATTAAGATGTTAAAATATCTGACTTTGACATGAAACAGTTTTGTGGTTTAGGATTTTGTATGAAGTTACCACTAGCTTCCTCTCATTATAACTGTTGCCATTAAAACCTTTTTATGAAATACACAGAAGGAGGAAAATAGCTGACGCTCTTGAAATATAAAGAACGATGTAAGGCTTTCTTTTTAACAGTTGACTATCTTATGGGAGTGGGGAGAGTTCATTTGGATTACTGATGTTAAAAAGCGGGTAATTATGTAACTGGTGAAAATCTCAGCTGTTACATGCACCTGCAGCATGGGGCGACAGCTGGTTCCTGCCTGCAGCCTGGCTCCGAGGGAACTGGCTGCCACTCCTGTGCTGCTGCCTCTGATACGGAGCCAGCAGCTGGCTCCTGGGGAGTGGGGTAGGAGCATGCGTATAATAGTAACTTGATAACCTTATCAGTTAACTTTTTAAAGGGTTATACTTCTACATCCCTAATTTGGATGGATGGACTTGAGCTCTTGTTGCCATTGAAGGCTGATCCTGTTTCTTGATAAGATACAAGCCACTCTTACAAAAGAGAGAGAATAGCAAGGAGACAACTTCAATTGGATGATTTCTTCCGGTTTCAGACTAACTTCTGGGAAAGTACAGCCTTGTCTCATAGTTGTATCCACCTTTCCACGACGTGGCAAACTTTTACCAGCATTAGACTAAGGCATTACTTTTGAGCTTGCCTTTCTGATCATGGACAGCTTGCCCCACTATTGCAAGAGTAGATTTGTCTTGACAGTGTAAACCAGAAAAAGAAAGGTGAGAGAGAGAAGAAATGAGGTAGAGTGGAAGATGATGTGACTGAGTGGGCCACAGCAGGAAACTGACTTAAATCTAGATCTTCAGAGGGCTAGCCAAGTTAGTCTGTAACATGAAAAACTTAAACAATAGTCTAGTAGCACCTTAAAGACTAACAAAACATGTAGATCTGTGGTCACCAACCAGTAGATCGTGAGCTACCGGTAGATCTCAGGGGCTCTAAGAGTAGCTCTTGAACCCTCTCTGAACTGCGCACCTGCGCGGGACATTTACATTAGATTTCCTCATTTGAGGAGCAGCTACTCACTGAGCAACAACACAGGTGAGTAGCTGCGAGGAATGGTGGGAGCTGGGAGGGGGGGAGGACTGAAACCCCCCAGCCAGCTGACTGTGGCTTTCACAGCTGGAGCTAGGCGCAGCCTCCCTGGGCTGAGCGCAGGGCAGCTGGCCATGGCGCTCAGCCAGGGTGCACCACGCTCCTTGTGGGCTGGCGCAGAGGAGCTGCTGCCTGGCCTTCTGGCTGTGGCGTTCAGCCCAGAGGAGGCTGAACC